CTGCGGAGGGCTCTAGGATATGCTTCAAAGCACACCACGATCCTTCGTCTTTGTTGGGCTTCTGGGCATGCTGGAGGAAACAAACAGTGTCATATTTGTTGGCCGGGCCAGGTCTTGACAAACCTGCACGTTCAAAAGACATTGTGGAGCCAACTGGATTCGTGTGTTTTGCTGTAGGAGGGTGATCCACTTTGAATTTGAGGATGGGATGCCATGGCAGGCTGTGTTTTCCCTGCAAGAATTGCTTCAACTATTTCGGATTCGTATCTGGTATGCGCGCTGGACCTGCGTTTTGCCTTGTACGTGTTTGCATGGGCTGTGTTGCATGTGCCGTGTCACTGCATGTGCGCATCGGTTGAACCAACTTACATGCTCCAGGTTTCTGCCCACAGGGTGTCTCAGCCAGCCGCATGCGATGCTGTGAAGCTGTTTCCCCCTTAAATTATGTGCAAATTCTATCTGATTATTACAGTCCTATTTGGCAAATTCTACTTAGACTCTGAATTTAAACTGGAAGGTCAGGCAGGTTTGGACAAACTCTTTCTTATTGAATTCTATGAAAATTATGCTTAACTCTTAATCTAATGTTTAGTTGAAAAGGAATTCCTGCTTAAAATTTGGATGTAGCAGAAGAGTTGGAAACTGCCTGTCCCAGTTCTTATTTGGAAAGGCAATTTTATTGTGTTGTTCTCATTGGAATTTTAACCAAATCTATTGGTGTTTCATAAAAAGCCCATTTGGAAAGGAAATCCTGCTTGATGCCACCTTTATTGGATTGAACCCTGTCCATACTAAATCCGTCTTAGAGTCTTAATTCAAGGCACAGTTCAAGTATTTAAATTCATATCGGAAAGGATTTCCTGATCGAAATCTAGGTCGAAATTGAAATTCCAGTTCAGCTACTTCCTCATACAACTACATTCGAATTATATGTAGAAAACAACGTCCCACTTCCCATCTACTTGATCTTTTAGCGCAATTGAAGTGCATTAGTTCTAATGCACACCAATCTTATTCTATGTTTGGGGGGAGGGGACCCCTGCGTGCCTTAAAATACAATCCCAGGAGGCCCTGACCTCGACAAGTCAGGGGCCCCAAAAAAGGCCTCCCAGGATTTGCTTCTGTGGAAACCTCTCCACGTTTTGTGATCTAAACAGATCCAACAAACATACAATCGCCAATCCTGAGATCTCTCTCTAATCAACTGTGATACACGCCCAACACGTACAAAAGCAAACAGCAAACAGCGGAGGTATGGAAAACCCAGCCTCTCATACGTATCACGTCCCTCTCTGTTGAATTTGGGGGGGACACATTTATAGACATGTCCATTGCAATTTCAGCAAGAAACTGCTTGCAAGTCCCTTTCGGGCCGTGACCGAAATCCAAGTCGGATTTTCGCCCAAGATCCAACGTGACTAGGCGGGTTTGAGGGCAACCGGCTATTGGCTTCACCTGTTATGAGCCTTCAAATATCTCTCCGGCAGCCACACGCGCGTGGTTTTGTCAATGCAAGGCGGGTCTGTTGAGCAGTGCGGGAGAAAGAAAACTGCACCGCCTTGGCGGTCTTGCTGAGGGTACTGCACCGCCTGTCACTCAAGATCCGGGCAAACAAAACTGAAGCTTCAGGGGCTTCCTTGCATGAGCCAAGGCTGGTCACAATTCTTGCCCAAATGAAGGTCTGCGCAGCAACAAGACCATGCTTGAGTCATAGGCAATGCAGCGACTCCTGAGTATCTGCTGGGAATTTGCACATCAGGAAGCAGAGCAGGTGCTGAAACTTGAGGAGTGAGGAGTCCCACTTCGACTTTTCAGAGCGACCCCCGGCGAAGCTGTGGTCCAAGGAAGTTTTCCAGTTCAACCCGGAAGAGAAGACAAACAAAGGTGCGTTGCAGCCTTTGAGAAACGCTGTAGCTTTTCTAGCGACGGTTGGGGGGCAGCGTGGGCACATAGGGGAACCATCAGCTTGGATGAGGCACCTTGTTCTTGCGCATTGAATCCCACAAATGTGTCTTCGAACTCAAACCTGGGTCTCCTGAGTTGGAGATGTCCCTTCAGCAACAATTTCCTGGCTGCTGGCCCATTCGTCTTCCAGTTTTCGGTAAGTCAGCAAACAGGCAATGCCAAACGAAGGCTTTCCATGAGACACCACGAATTAAGAGGGTGAAGGCTTACATGAAGCTGTGGGAGCAACCTGGGGGAGTAGGTTTGCACCGTGGCAGCCACTGGCAAGTCGCTCTAGTCGAAGGAGCTCCGCACTCCCAGCATTCAATCTTCCATCCAGCACACATAACATGTCTGTTTGACAAAGCCACCCGGCCATGAAACCGTGGCTGATGCACGTTAGCTGAGTGTCATGGCCTGCCAGCAACGGTGAGAGCGGGTAAATCTTCCCAGCCGTTAACAACTCTACCGATGCTGAGGGAAAGCCAAGGGACGAATTAAAGCAACTTCTGCTTAGATCCTCGCAGCTTGAGACATCGCCCACCGGCTTGTTTGCCGGATTCCGAAAGCATATCTAGCCGGGACGGGAGCTTGGCTTGACAATTGCCCGCAGTCGAACAAATTCCATTGAAGCAACACAGGGCCGGGTCAAGGGGGGTGTAAATTTCAAACCATGGTCTCCCTCTTCGGATTTACCAAAGTGGGTGAGGGCTTTGCACATGCCCTCGGCATGCTCATGCTGAGCCAACAAAGACACCGCATGGTGCAACCAACGGGCCTGGGACAACCCTCTTCTGGAACCATCATAGACGTTGAAGGCAGCATAGTTTGGACCGGCTCTGCAAAACTACTGCTGCAAACTTTCCAGCCCTTGTTGGCAAAACGCACGCATCAACCTCGTTCAAGAACTAACAGAACCAGACAAACAACTACCTGAATGTCGGGAAGAAAAAACCACATTGGTTTCAGGAGTATCTCCTACCCAACAGTCGCCATGGGGTAACAAAGAACGCACACCAGGAAAAATGAGAAGGCCGTCAGTTTAACAAAAACACGTGGATTCAAATTGCAAGGTGTAGGAGTGTAGGACGCAGAACCCATGCTAGTAAGGGCAAACCAGCCGAAGCGATTCAAAATAGTGACTCCCTTCCCTTCTCGGGGGTGTCGTCGCATGCTCCCAAAGAGGTTTTCAAGATGGTTCACCCAAAATCACATAGATTCAAATGGCCTTAGGCGCCAACCTGCTGCAAAAAACACGGCTCAAAAAAAAGATTGCCAGGCGCTGAGTTCCGTCCGCAAGCTTTCCAATGCAAGCAGCCATGGATGGCGCTGCGCGGACAACATGTCTGACCACTTGCAGGCGGAGTGGAACATATCTGAAAACGTCCACGGCAAGAAGATCTTGGGAATAAGCCCGTGCTGTGCAAAAATTACCCATAAGTGTCACCTCACTGCTTCTCTCCCAAACGAGCGAGCTCATGAAGCCCCAAAAGTGGGCACTCATCCGCACTCCTGCGGCGCATCTGCCAAGCTCCAGTTCGACACATGTATTTGGCGGAGAGGTGAGTTTTCAAGGTGCCCACTTGGGCAAGGAAATGCGTGCAGCGCGGAGCTGTGCAGAAAATGGCTGCATGGCTACTAGGAGTGCTTGATTTGCCTGGATGGCCCAACCAGGAACCGCGACAATCTCAAACACAGCGACGACAAGCCCCTGAAACGACCCTGGCCTGCAACAATTGTTCTCCAAAGCGAGCTAGCGGATAAGTCAAGTCGAGTTGGAATTCTTGTGCGCTACGAATAGGCTACGAACAACTCAAACACACCAGCACCCAAAGCAATCTAGATCTGATGTGCCCAAAGCTGTGCCTAAGAAAAAAGTCCTGGAGGAGCCGCACATTGCTGGTGGTGGCATGTTTGTAGCATGGAAAAGTGTCAGAATTCGGAGGTCAATGTTTGGTCCAAAGCTTCTCAAGCAGACCAGGAACCGGGTGCAAACATCACAAAGTCATATTGCGAAGTAATGTGTTGCAGCAAAATAATGGTAAAGCGCGGTGCGGTGCCGATTTCGCAGCAGGCGTGGTCAGGCTCAGTATCTGGGTGCGTGGTCTCAGGCTGCGGAGAGCCGGCAAACACAACCTCAAGTGCTAATTTGCAGGAACTGATTGCATTTCCTACCCGAGTGCGGTTGCATTCGCATGCATGTCAACGAGCAATACCATGGGACATTAGATCCAGGGATCTGGAAATGAATTGAGAGAACCATGTCAAAGGGGAGAGAACATGGCAAGTGCTTCCGATTCTATCTAGTGCTCCCATGGCTGGGGACTGTGAGAGTGCACTTCTTGTGTATCTTAGCGTATCTACCAGCTACGTGTAAACCCATCAGGAAACGAATGCACAAGCTCGCTGAATGGCTCCTATGGGAATAACGCACGGGTGAAGATCCAGGCAAATCAAGCGCGAATAAGCACAACTAAGCCCAAAGAAGCACAACTAGCAAAAAAAGAAAGAACGGCGAGCCACATGTGCCTGGCCATCGCCAGGCACTTCAAGTCGCCGATCTGCCTGCAAAAAATGAAGGCACTTGAAGTCGCCAGAAACTCATCGTGAAGCGCTTCCTTTCCGAGCACCGTCCACAGCTTTGGCACATGCTGGTTGCCCCTCTCAATCCTTTCAGTTGCCGCAGGCTACGAGTTGGTTTAGGTTACCAGTTGGTTTCTCTACCCTCAACGTGATGAAGATTCCATCAACTCCTGTTCAGCTTTGTGGCCTCACGGCTGAAAACGCGCCACCCTTGTAGAGAAAGGCAGCAACCAAATCTCATGAGCATGATGCATCGCGCTCTCAACCCTATACTCAATAGGCTTCTGGGTGTTCCCTGCAGATGTTGCTTAATTTTAGAGCTGAAACTTGACATGGACTTACAAGAGCAGAATGCAGGTTTCAGTCGGTTTTGCACTGTAGGAACCACGCCGCGTAGACTCAATGCCAGTGCGTGATGGGTCTCTGGGATGCGCTCGCTCAAGGTCCGGGAGCATATCGAGCGGGCCCGGTTGTCAGGAAAGCGACACCTCGGCCGATGAGGCGTGCTGACCCCATAGGCTGCTTGGTGGTTTCAGCCTGTTCCCAGACTCATGGCCTCTCAAACCAGCCACTAAATCGTACCTTTTACAATGCACCTGTTGCTATGCGTTCCGCCTCTGCCGCTGCCGCGGGTTCGGCGATGGCTGCCGCCGTGTGTTCAGGGGCAACTGTTGCGGTGTCTCGTGTTGTGGCCCTTGCAACAGCCACCTTGGCGCTGCAGCCACGTACATACACCGTGCCATGGTACTACCTAAGCCGCTGTTCAAATTCAGAGGCCGGTGCAAGTCAACAGAGTATGAAAGCTGACAAATGCGAGAAGCGGGATACTGTGCCTGATTCAACAACAGGACCATGTTGCTGCATCATGGGCCTGTGCAAGCCAACGGTATGTAAGAAGAAATCTATAGTTATTCTTCCTAAGCCTATTCGCCGCCGGAACCTGGTCCTGCGCATACGGGGAGTTGCTGGCTGCCAGCCAATCACTATTCAAAACATTCAGCACCTGTTCTTGCGATCGGCTTCATGGACGTGCCAACATGGAATCTGTTGGCCTGAGCAAGTTAGAGTTGCATGATGCATATCTTGCTTGGTGCTGAAGAGGCGCTTAACAGTTGAACTCCTGTAGCAGGACTGAAATCGGACCCAACCTTGAAAACCCACAGGTAGAAATGTTGACATGAGAGTCATTATCCAAAATGCTGACACTGACACTAAGGGCCCTTCCAAACAAAAACAGATCTCAGATACAGCTTAACCGGAAAACACCCTTGAAAAGACGCGCTATGAAATTCGACCCTTTACCGAGTGACAAATGAACCGTTTTTGGTACTGCCCCTGAACACAGGGAATGGGGGCTATATGGTTTGGAGGTTTTTGGGGTCCACCACATTGGGCCTTGACAAAGGGCCCGGCCAGTTGATCCAGTTTCCGACCGACAGCTCAGCCTTCCAAAACACATGTGGCATTTCTAATTGCACCCTCCCTGCACCAGGCTTTGGAGGCGACAGGCCGGCAATGACCAAATAACTCAAGAACTCAACAACAAAAGACGCCCACCAGGTCACCAGAGGTTCCCTTCAAATGGCTCCTGGGATGGCCTCGTGGCGGGCCGCCTTTTGAAGGGCCAGACCTTTTATGGAGTCCCTCAAAAGAGCCCCCAACCCCATCACCTCGCATAGCCCCATTCCACCTCCCTCTCGATCTAAGACATCCCTCAACAAGAACCGACGCAAACTGTGACAAGCTTGGAGGGTACCCTTCAAGACCGGACCAAATCAATTTTGGCCCTCCCCGGAACGGATAAAAAGCATTCTTATCTTTGAGGGGAAGGGAGTACACATGGGCAAACGTCGCATAACAGCTTACATGCATGTGTGCAAATGCACGGAAAGCGATGGTGCATGGCATAACTAAAGTTGCGCATCGGTTCTCTTTGATCTCAACAAGACTGGCCAACTGACCTGCAAAACTGAAGTAGAGACCGAGGGGGCATTTCGGCCAACGTAGATAGATAGATGGATGGATGGATAGATCGATAGATAGATCGATAGATATGAACGGAATAGATTAGAATTCATTAGAACAGATTAGAATAGGTTACATAGATAGAGAGCCAGATGGATAGATAGACACATAGTTAGATAGATAGACACATAGTTAGATAGATAGATAGATAGATAGATAGATAGATAGATAGATAGATAGATGGATGGATGGATGGATGGATAGATAGATAGATAGATAGATAGATAGATAGATCTATATATATATATGTATGTATATATAGATACATAGATAGATAGATAAATAGATAGATCTATATACATATGTATATATAGATAGATTAGATTATATTTGTTTTTAATAAATACAAATGCTTGTGCATGTGTGTGTGTGTGAACAAAGAACGCAACACCGCACAGCGTGATAAACGACCAAGCAAATGTTTGTGCAAATTTTGACCCATGCGCCGAGTCAAGTGCTGCCCACAGAAGTTGCTCCAAGCTTCAAGGCTCAGCTGAGTTGCGCGAGAGAGTATGCCGATCAAGCCTGAGACCAAGCCTGGCAAGGGTAAAGGCGGTCAGTCGGTCTGTCCGTTGCTTCATGCGCCATGGCCTGCCCCCAGAAACTCACAATCGAGTTCATGCACTTTGGAATCACTAAAAGAGTCGAAACAAAAGGATTGACTGGCCTTGAGCAAACACTGGCCACATGCCGAAGTTGCGCATATAACATTATACTTGTCTGGAAATAGGACCCCAGCAAAAAAAAACAAAAACTGGGCAGTGGAAAAGACAGGGGACCCAGAAAAGCAAAAAAAGTACTAATTCTGGGGAAGTGTGTATATATATATATACACATAATTGTAAGCATGCCTGCACGCTTGGGGCGCCAGGAGAAGCCAAGTGCCTGAACCGTTCCTTGTTTCCCGACACCCATACGCGGCTCAAAGGTGTGGTGCCGAACACCCCCAATTTGCAAAGTCTCTGGGTCTTTGGTGTGCCCGATTCTTCGTGAAAAAAGGCACCGGGTTGCCTTCGGGGGCATGCCTTCGGGTGGGGCCTCCGAAGAAAATGAAGATCTTCAGAAACATCTCCGGGGTGAGCTGCACATCTCTCACCTGGAAGCCCGCGGAGCTATCCTCCACGAAGCGGACTAAGTACTGGCGCTCCGTGTCCAGCAAGGTGGCCTCTGGAAAGCCACGGATCGACTTCGGGCAAGCGGGGCCAAAACGCACCGACCGGAACACGATGTGTCCGTGACCGCACCTAGCCCCAAAATAAATCATATCTCACGTACTCACCAAGGGCAACGTCTTAGCATTTTGTACGTGTTTCGCCTCTTGTCTCTGCCGCCATGAAACGCAATACTCCGCTAGTGGCGCCTTCTAGCTTGGCCCACCCGTGTTCAAGTTTGTAGTAGCCTTGGACCATGCAGAAGACATGTGCGGGCCCGCGGCGGCGCACACCCGGTACCCCGCTTCCCCCACGGAATTGCTTCTTCACACCAGGTCACCATTCGCGGTTCGCTTGCCATGAGATGCCATGAGCACATGACGCGTTTATGTGGTCCAGTCCTGTCAGTAGGCCAAATCTGCTTCACACGCTTCAGGCGCCAGTCAAAAACGCAGTGTTTGCAAGTCATCACATTTAGCCTTTAACAAAGAGGCAACTGTACATAATCTTCAGCTCTGAGTTTGATAAGGGCTGATTCTTCGCCAATGCTTTCAAACACTGAAACTCCAGATCGAGACAAGCCACGCGTGGAGCCAACACAGGAATATCTTGAAAGTAGCCACGCAGAGGGCGACAAATGCTTGGCACACACAGCGTCTGATGGCTTCAAGATTCGGACATGAACTGCTCACCTGTTGGGGTGACTCTGGAAACATCTGGAAACCATTGGGGAAGTGAAAACTCAAATCGCGCTTCTCCATGAGTCTCTCAGGATCGGCGAACGGACCCCTATTGAATTTGACGGGCCTGAAGAGGTTCTTGGATATTCCTGCCAACTCTGGCCAAGGAGTCTAAAGAACTCATGGTCATGATCCAGGTGGGAAGTCACATGTCAAAAAAGTTTGGGTGACTGGCAATGAGAGACAATCAAACAAGCTCCAGGCGGGCGCGACAGACAAGGTTTTTTCCAAGGATGGCAGTTTCACTCAATCAGCGTATTCAACTTTCTAATTGGTAAACTCAAGCGTTTGCTGCAACAGGTGGCTGTGAAACTCGTCACCTCACCAGGTATGCAAACCGATTGTAGCGGCATTGCCGGACCGGTCGAACGGCGTATCTGGGCAAATTACTCGAACTCACCAACTGGAACTGGGAAATCATTGGCTGTCGCTCGCTAAGTAGTCACGGCCCCCTTATAGTTTGTGCGGACCCATGGCATCCAACGCAAGTCCTTACATGCAAGTGTTTAGACCTGTTCAAGCAAGTTTTGGCCCGATCCTGCGGCACAGGGGCTGAAGGGATTTGGTTGACAAAGGACGGCACCACGCGGCACTTCTGCGTCAATGAGGCCCCCCTTGAGAAGACCCGCATCTCCAGCATGAAGTAAACGAGTAGAGGCAGCAACTTCAAGCCTAGCAAAAGAGTTGGCTTGAAACCAAGCAGCGGCTTTGTAAACATGCATGCGTTTATATATCTACATGTGCTGAGTTTTCCCTCCATGGCCGTCAACCTTTTCCGCGGCCGTTACATATGGATCATTCACTGGGAACCATCTCAAAAAGCAGTACGGTCTGCTGCAAAGCAGACACAATATACTAAAATATGGTATTGTAATAGTTCACGTGTTGACAGCACATGCCGGTAGTATGGTATGAGATACTTGTACATAAGCACGGATCGTTGGTCACACTTAGTTGTTCAATCACAGAAACAGCGAAGCCATGAAAAGAAAACCGTTGGTTTTTTTAATGCGCAGCTCCTGCTTGTACATTAGACTGATAACATGTGAGATTTCAACTTGTGAACAAGCTGTTGAACTAGCATACCCGGACTCCAGATCACTAGTTACAGCGTGGTTCATGTTTAGGCTGATCTTGGACATCCAATCACGAGATACTATGCCATGATTGATGAGTTCAGCAGTGGACTATTTTCTGTACATAATGATGCAGTAGGTATGTGAACGCGCGTAAATATCTCATTTCTAGCTTGCAGAGTCATGAACTGCACATGACACTTCTAGGTATGGTGGAAGCTTCAAAAAACAAATCTATACATATATGTCCTTTTCTCGTGTTCTTTTCTCGCTGCCCCTTTCTCGTGCTTTTGTCTCTCTCTCTTTCTTGTTCTCTTCCCTTTTCTCTTTCTTCTCGCGTTCTTTCCTGAATTCCTGTCTGTCCAGAACATGCTTCGTATAGATCACAAGTCTCTCTTTCTCGCTCTCTCTCTCTCTCTCTCTTTCGTTCTATTTACCTAGCTACTCCAAACCGCTATGCCCATCTGTCGGGCTGCCTAGCTAGTGAGCTATCTAGATCTCTGCACTCCTATCTATTTACCCATGTACATTGGCGCCCTGTCTGTCAATCCGTCTATCCATCAAGATGGCATTTATCTAGTATTTTGTCTTTCTATCTATCCATCTAGCTCTAGCAATCCTCTGTCCTCTTTCATAACATCAAGAGCTGCACCTGGCACGAGATCTGCACCTCACCTTGCGAAAGTGCTCGGTCTGCCACACAATCTGTGAAAGTGCGCCTGCCACGAAATCCCTGCCAGACTTCTGTGACGAGATTCGTACCTGAGCTTGCAAAAGTCCGGCGCGTGTCGCGAAAGCTAAGCCTGGTCGTGCAAAACCGTTGCGCTGTGACCTTGCAAAGTTCTGCGCCTGCAGTGAACCTTGAGCTTTTCATGCGACAGGCACTTGCGCAGGCGTGCGACATAGTGCGCGCACAGGTTTGTCTGCGCTTTTGACGTGCCAGGCATGCGTGCAGGTGTGCGCAACAAGGGCGTGAACGGGTGTGCATGTGCCCAGGCTTGCCACGTAGTGCGTGAGCGGGAGGCTTGTCATCTTGTGCGCAAGCATGCGACGTGAGCAGGTGTGCATACCATGTGCCAGGCCTGTGCATAGGTGCCACGTAGCGCAGGAGCGGGTCTGCTTATCGTGGGCCAAGCATGTACGCAGGCGTGCAAGGTAGTGCGTGAGCATGTGTGCTCTTCATGCCATGTCCTGGGCTACCCTGTCACGATTGTCTCTGTGAATCTACAATCTTCAACTTTCAAACCCAGTACGTGCTGGAACGTGCTAGCACATCCTGGAATGCCCTAAACACAGATTTGAAGCTTCTCTTGGTTTCTGGGAGTCTTCAATGTTGTATTCATGTATGCATGATGCACCTGTGTCTCCACCTGTTTCTGCGTCTCTGTCCGCATCTGCATCTGTGTCTGTATCTGTATGTGTGTGCATGTGTCTGTGTATGTATGTGTGTGTGTGTGTATGTGTATGTGTGAATGTAGTTGTGAATGTACTTACGTACGTACGCATGCATGTATGTATGCATGCACGCCGTACAAAATGACAAAATGTAGCAACATGTTGCAAGAAACGGGATCCCACATACTATAGTGATTTGTAGGCCTACACGTATACGCACATGTCCGAGACAGAATCTTTCAAGAATAATGGATGCATTCCAAGGGCCGCAACGTTTACCTCCCGCAACGCTTTGGATTCTGCTCAAGTGAACTGCGGCGCGACGCGTCCACAGCCTTTGGGTTTCTTCGACCAAACTCATGTGAATTGTTTTGGAGCACCTGGGGCCCCTCGCTGCCGCTGCAAAACGCTTCACATCTGCGCTGCTTGGACGCGCCTTCCGGCAGCAGCATCTCCATGTCGAGGCCATGCTGGAAGAGAGCCTGGCAAAGCGATTCACCACAAAGTTTCAAAGGGTTCCCTAGCAAACGAACCACAAAGAATAAGCTCACTCATGGAAACAGGCCAAAAAGAATGTGCAAAACTACGTAAATAATTCGATAAGGAGAAACTTGTACCTTGGCGGAAACTACGGGGTTTCCTCGAGTGTACAGATCTTCTTGCAAGCTGGCCAACCGGGAAACACACATGCCCCCGTTTACCAAGTTCCTCAAAGGAAGCGATAAATATTTCATTGGCCCCAAGTAGGGGCCCTGTCCCTCTGATCAAACAATAGCCTGTGGCTGGAGGTCCTAAAGCAAGGAGGTACACGTACGGGGGACCTCCGAAGCATGCAGCCTATGCTGGCCACAAAGCAGCCCAAAAAGCAAAATATGTTTAACCAGCGAGGGCCACAAACAGTGAGGAAACTCTTCGTAAAGCTTCCCAAAGGTGCACGGGCAGAGCAGGCGGCAGCTGCAAATCGATTACCGCAGCTTCTCGATTTGGGGGGGAGCGAAACTCGGTCCGTGCTGTGTTTTGAATTGGGCGAATCAGCAAACAAGAAATCCTGCATTCGAGAAAGTCACCATCCTGAAAGATAAAACGGGTCTGGAAAGCACAGACGAACATCCGTTCCCGTCTCGCTACTTCAATACTCCACACCTAGCAAGGTATGTAGAAGGACTGGACAGGTACGACAAGCTTTCCTGAGATGCAGGCCGTGACAGTGCTGGCCAGAAGGTAGATGAAGCCTCCTGCACCTTAGGCAGTACGTTCCATGAAGACAACCAGAAATGTCAGCTTGCCCCTTTGGATCGGTGCGAAAGTCGACCCCTCTGCTCTCCGAACCATTTGCCCAAAGCACCTCGAGATAGCCCGTTGTTGCCGTTACAGTTGTTGCGTTTGAGTTTGCGTTCGCGCTTGCGCTTGCACTTGCCTTTGCGTTTGTTGTTGTTGCTGTTGTTGTTGTCGTCGTCGTTGTCGTGGTCGTGGTGGTCGTGGTGGCCGTGGTGGCCGTGGTGGCCGTGGTGGTTGTTGTGGTTGTGGTTGTGGTTGTTGTGGTGGTTGTTGCTGCTGCTGCTGCTGCTGCTGCTGCTGCTGCTGCT